CAGACAGTGTTGGGCTGTCTCTCTCTCTCTTTCAGCCTTCAAACATCTTCTCTTACAGATTCTTTTCAGAAAGATCTGTGTCTCGCTGGGAAAAGCAAGAGGCTCCTGGCCAAGGCTGCAGAGCCTACCGCCATGGATCTCCTGTGCTCCTCTGGACCCCACCGTCCCCACTCCCACCCCATGCTCCTCATTACTCACAGCTTGGGACAGCCTTCACCAACGGAACCCCTGCTTCTTCTCTCCACGCCTCTTAAAATATGCAGAGCCACAGTGTGGTATTCTCAAAAGCTGCCTAGTTGCCAATCAGATAAGTCAAGCTATGTTTCTGTGCTAATGAGAAAGAACCAGAAAAGGGCCCCAGGAGAAAATGTTTGGAATGCTCGTGAAAAGGTGTTGTCGTCTCTTGTGTCTAAAGAGTTCAAGTAAATCAATAAGAGAAACATAAACCACCGTTCTGAATGAGAAAGAGCAGGAACAAAATATTCAGCCAAAAGAACATGCAATTTGTAAATAAGCACAACAGTATATTCAGCCTGACTAGTCACAAGAAAATGCAAAGTCAAATCATTACATATTTCTCGTCTACAGAATTATCAATGGGTTAAAGTCCAAGGCTTGATTCTGGCAAGAGGCTCTGAGATGAACACTTGACAGGGGAGAATATAAATTGTCACAGCCGGAACTCATGAGTGTACCAAAACCCTGAAACACAGTCCTTAGCCTTTGATCCAGTCATTCCCTTTGCTGGAATACAAGCTAAGGAAAAATATACGAAATGCAGACATTTATGTTCACATGGTTTATCACAGCAAAGAAAAGGAAACACCCGAGTTATTAAATCAAATTAAAGAGCTTTTATACTTTTATATGGGAAAATGGTCGGGGCATAATGTTTGTTAGTGAAAACACAGCACTTAAAATCACACATTCAATACAATCTTCGTAGTATAAAGCAAAGCCCACAAATGTGTAAAGGAGACTAGAAATAAACATACCTTGGGGCACCTGATGGTTCAGTCAGTTAAGCGTCCGACTTCTGCTCAGATCATGATCTCATGGTTCATGAGTTTAAGTCCCTCGTTGGGCTCTGTGCTGACAGCTCGGAGCCTGGAGCCTGCTACGGGTTCTGTCTCCCTCTCTCTGCTCCTCCCCCACTCATGCTCTGTCTCTCTGTCTCTCAAAAATAAATACACTTTAAAAAAAGAAAAAGAAATAAACATACCTTAATGTGCTACACATTATGAGCCGTTGTTAGAGGATTTTTGTTGTTGTTGTTTTACCTCACCATTACATTTTCTTTTTACATTAATAGCATCTATTACTTTGATACAGGGCAAAACTTTTCATTAGAAATTTAAAGGACCCAAGTAAAATCTGCCCACCTCTACCTGGAAGAGCTCACAGTCAGGGACTGCAGTAAGTTTCCTCCAAGAGGAAACAAGCACTGTGCATGCATGTGCATGTACCTGCGTGCATGTGTAAGTGTGCATGCATGTGTATATGTATGTGTGTGCGTGTGTACGCGTGCATGCATGCGTATGCCGGGAGCCGCATGGGCCTCTCTGGATGGCAGTCACAGCAAGGAAATGGCAGTGTTTGAACAGCTCCTGTGATGAGAAACGAAAACTGGTATCTCTTTCTGCTACTACTGGCTCATGTTGGAAATGAGGCTGCTGGTATTGACCAGGCCTCACAATATTCCAGATCAGACCAATATTCCAAACACAGATACCTCATAAGGAAAAGAATATTCCTGCCTTTACAAAAGAGATTTTAGATGAAAGCTCTGTGGATGATTGTAAAAAGCCTCTTCCTATGGACCTTGCATATCAAAGACAATTGAGTCTGACCCTGAGACAAAAAGCCTAATTTAGAGTGTTAACTCTAAATTTGCCCTTAGGCAAATATCCACCCCCACCCATTTGTTTCTGCTTGGAGCATTTTCTGGCCTTGTATATGCTGATTACTCCCTGTGAAGGAACCTATTGAGGACCTTCTTTTGTGATTATGAGAGCAAAGGTGTAAGACCTATTTTTCTTGATACTTCCACCTTGAACAAACAAGCTTGTGGACCACAAAGAAGTAACTTCACCCTTTTTATGCTAAAAACTTTGTCTGGTATGTTAAAGATGCCTTCCTTCCCCTTAGGATAAGCGTCTAAATTCCCTACCTCAATCACTTTTGTAAAAGTTATGCATGAGTCTTCTACAAACCTATGTTCCAGGAAATTCTTACATATCAAAGAAGTCTGTTATCAGAAACCTTTGTCTAAGGTAAATGACACTTCTGTGCTGTCCCCCAAACACTTAATAATAAAATAAAGTTGAGCCCCAGTCAGAGCAGAGATGCCTGCCTGGTGATCAGAAAGAATCTCGGGGTTCTCTCTCTCTCTCGCCGACATCGTCCATCCTTCAGGGACCCCTGGACCTGCCGGAGCTGGCCTCCGACATGTGTATATGTATGTGTGTGCGTGTGTGTGTGTGCGTGTGTAAGTTTGTGTGTGTGTTTGGGTGGGGACAAGGCAGGCAGGACTCCCCTTCCCATGCACAACTCCTGCTCTATGTAGTTCTGGGAAGGAAGCGAAAGTTCCCCCCTGGGACCCCATCACGCCCTCTGCCTCTGTGGTGAGCTCAGCAGCTTACAACAGTCGCATCCTGCACACTTCGCAGGGGCTGCCAGAGCTGAGCCCCAGTCCTGGCTGCACAACCTCAATCTTCTCACTTTCAAAATGGGCCCTTGGCAATATCCTCTTTGATGGCGTTGAGGGAATTAGAAAACTGTTTCATTGTTATAAGACAAAGCTGAGTTCTTGCTACTCAGTTAATAAGCACCCAACACATGAAGACACACTGCATTTCTGTGACTTAATATCAGACCCTTACCATATAAACTAATTTTTCATGTCATGATTTTACCTTCTTAAAATACTCCTCATTTCTTTAAAATTAGACACTTCTAGGGTTAAATCTTCTAAAGTACATCAAACGTTTCCCTGCTAGCTAAATGACTACTCACTATTAAACACTATTTATCTTTTCAGAGTGTCTTGGGGTCCTTACTAGGAAGTGTGCCCATCAGGGGAATGGGAATGTCTTCAGTAACTTACACTTAAGGTCTTTAACCTATTTACTGAGTGAGACATGGTATTATCACATTATTATCTAATGTATCAGTCACAGTAACTTCACTTTGCAAATTGTTCCAGTTTCACAGATGAGAAAACTGAGGCTCAGGATTTGAGTAAAATGCTGAAGGTCAGCCACATAGAAGGCAGCGAGTACCCAAACTGAGGCCGAGTCCCAAAGCCTGATTCCTTGACGGCCCATGGTACAGTCACATCCTCCACTGATAGCTGGACCCAAGAAGCTTTCATTGTATAATAAATGCTACTCTGTTTTTGTATCTGACGTTAGCGTTTGTTGAGCTTTCTACCTTTCTTTAGTTTTTTGGCTTCCTGTCTGTAAGGGATTCTTGTTACATTTTGGTGCTTTTAACCTGTCTTACGCTGGGAAATGACATAAGCAAATGTCTTCTGATTGTATCTAAAAGCCAGCTGGCTGGCAGCAAGCCTCTAGAAGTCCCCCCACAAGTGTTCCCACAAGTGAGGTGCAATGACCTGGGGACTTGTTCTTGGGTTCCCTGGCAGCACTTTTGGCTTCCCCTGGGGGGGGGGGGGCAGCTGCATTTCAATCATCAAAGCTGTCTGAATACAGACAATACTACCACCCAGTATGGAAGCTGTATGCTAAACTGTTGCTAGTTCCTACTAAATGCCTTTTCTGTCCCACTGTTATTAATAGACATTGCTTCTGCGACTCTGAAATGCAAGTGGACCTGTCCGCATTTTCTAGGTGAAGAAATGGAGACTACAAAGTTTCCACGCCTGGCCCAGAGCATTCATTGAATAGTTCCCTTCACATCAACACGTATATGTCTAGCGTGAGAATTTCACTGAAGACTTACAAGCAGTGTGAGTTTCTTCATCATCTGCCTAAAGAGATTATGAACATTTGCCCACAGTGTCAAAAAGGCCGTCCTAATAATAATGCCTGGAGTTGGTCCAGCCCACATAAAGCTGGGCAAGGCGTATGCTCGGCACACCTCCAGGGGGCAGCCTTACATTGTGTTCAACCTGGGTGGTACTCCCAAGGGCATATACATTGTGCAGACATATGGAATGGTGCCCGGGTCTGCAGGCGAGCAACGTTAATGGGAGAAGGGGGAGGGTGGCACCGTCAGGTAAACCACAATGAAAAGCCCCACAAAAAGGACCATCAGACATGAGGATAGGATGTCTCTTGGGTCTGAGATTTACAACCAGGCTGACATGGCCTCAAGCTCCCTTGCCCTTCTCCCTGGTGGGGAGAGGGGACAGATCAAATGCTGCATATAACATAGCATTCTTTCTCTGTGATGTAGGCAGACTCCATTTTAACTAACCAGAGTCTCAAAATCTATCTCAAAGTTTTTAAGTGTCCAAGAAAAGTGAATTCTTTGCAAACTCTACTATATCCGGAAGCCTCAGACAAAAGGGATCCAAATAAACCCCATGGCCTTTGTCCAAGCAATCCCTTTTTCTAAGACTTTTCCAAACAGCCCACGGATTGGGACTGCGCCCTTGAGGGGCCGCCAGGCAGGGACTTCCCAGGCCAACAGTGCCCCTCAGCCCTGAGAGGCCCCAGGGCCATGGAGCTGCCGAGAGGCCTGCCAAGACTCAGACACAGGTCTGTCCCTATTTGGTCACCAGCCCTAACAGTGCCGGGGCAGGCCATCCTGTCACATCTGGGATTTTTTCAGTTCTCACACAGGGGATTTCTCCACCACAGCCTCGGAGTCTGGTAGCTGCCGATGGAAACAGAAACATAGATAATGTGATTCTTGCGCAGGAAAGTTGGACCAGAGGAGAGTTCAGACGTGGGCGGGTGTGTGTGTTTAAAAAAAAAAAAAAAAGGGTGGAAACCCCACCAGCCAAGTCTGCAGAAAAAAATAAATGAAGTCTGCGTATCTCGGGCCAGAGCCCCTCCCCTCGGCCCGCGCCGGAGGGCCGTGACACAGGTGCCGCTTCCTCCCCGCCGCTGAGGGCCCGTAGCAGCCCGCGCGACCCTCGCCACCGCCCCGCCGGCTCCTGCGCTCGCGGCCCGGCCGGCGCCCCGCACCCGCCGACGATGAGCAGCCTCAACAGCACGTCGTCGCCCGAACCCGGTGAGTGCCCGCCGCGGGCCGGGGGGCGCGGGGTCCCCGGTCCCGCCGCCGCCACCACGCCTGGCGGGGAGCGCGTGCTCGCAGGCCGCACCGCAGCCGGGGTCCCGGGCGCTGCGGGGTCGCGCCCGGAGCCCCGAGCCCGGCCAGGCTGTGCGCCCCGGGGCCGGAGGGGCCGCTCGGTCCGCGCCTGTGCGCGCATCTGCCACGCGAACTTGCGCTGGGCCGGGAGGTAAGGGACCTACGCAGAGCGCGACGACCGCGGCCGCCGTGTGGCTCGGCCGCCAGGACGCGGGGGCGGTTTCGGAGTAAACTTCAGGGAACTCCGCGGGGGCCCTGACTCGTCTCCGCGCGGGCGGCGGGGAGGGACGCGCACATGGCGCAGGCCTCGCTAGCCTTGACCCGCCCCCCCCAAGGCCTTGTAATTCCTCTTTCTTTTTAAGAAGGCACATGCTTTCCTGCAGAAGGGGAACGGGAAACCGTATGCCCTGAGCTTCTCTGGAGCCCACTGGGAAACCTTGCCGGCCTCCCCCCACCCCTCCTCTGCCCATGGGCTTCTGCAGGAAAAAAAAAAATCTAAAATTTTATCTTAAAACAGTGACTGTTGAGCCCTCTTATCCCCCACTGGCCCAGGTCTGGTCATTAGAAACTGTCAGAGAGAAGGGAGACATTCGCAGTCTGTGGCGTCACCCTGTTAGGTAATGAATGTGGTACTCTGGCTACCGGGACACCCACTCATTTACAAGTCTTTAAAATCCAAGGGGTTCTGCAGCCTCGCCAGCGGGACGGGAGCATAGTCAGCTGTGGCGAGGTCGGCGGTCGTGCCCTATGTGCCCGTGTGTGCGTGGCCGCACGCATGCTGTTTGGGGTGCGTGGGGACAGGAGCCCGGCGGAGGGCCTCGCGGCCTGCACTGGCATCAGGGGTGGCCACTGACTAGCCAGGGGTCTGAGGCAAGCCGGCCCCTCTCTTCGCTCCAGCGTCGTCATCATCATCCGCGAAATGGGAGAAATGGGAACGATAGGCGGGTCCTCTTTGGGCTGTGAGAAGGAAGGTATGTGTAATCAGCACAGAGAGGGACACTAAGGGTTCCGGAAACCTCAGGTGTTTTTCATCTTACAGGAGGCTGGATCTGGGACCTCATGTTCACTCGTGTTTACGTGTGTGAGTGCGTGAGTCAGACACTAGTGAGCGTGTGTGCGTGTGTCATGGGGCCATGGGTGAAGGGCCAGGCCACTGAGGAAGGGCAGGCCTGCGGACACTCCCCTGTCTGGTGAGGACTCACCAGGAGCCCTGCCCCTCCCTTAGCAGTTTTCTGGGCTTCAAGTTTCAGACCATGACCGGAAGGCTTCCCTTCTGGAGCTCAGGGGGATGCAGTCCTTGCTTGCATACCATGCTAGATGCTTGATTCCCCTTAGGACTCCATTTAGGGCAGGCTCTTTGCTGTGGGATAACTCTGGGTCCCTCCCCCTTGCTGCTAACTCCGGCAGGATGTGTCTATATCCTGTGTCAGTTTATATCACTGCTTCTCAGAACCAGAAGTGAGAATGGAGACGACCCACTCGGGCTCTGCCAGGCCTGCCCCCCACCCCTCTGGCCTCAGCCAACCCCTATAAGCCAGAGTGCCACAGTTCCTGCATGGGAGTCCACTGCCCGGCCCTTGGAGGGAAGGGGTAATCGCTCAGTAAGGTCTGTCAACTTTATTCAGAATGCACTGCCTCTGGCAGAAGCCGAAAGGGCTGCAGTAAATGCCAAATGAAATTCCATCTCAGCCATTGCTCAACCCCTCCAGATATATCCATGGCGGGAGGGCTCACATGGCATTGGCACGGTCAGCAGCTGGACCTTTCCAAGGGTGTCTGGGGTTGGGCGATTTTTTCTGGGGACTTGCAGGGCACCCCAGGCTACAGAGGGCTGTGGGGGAAGAGGCATTCTGTGTTTGCAGCGGAAGAACAGGAGCCCATGGATGACAAGGAAGAAGAGGCAGTGTGCGGGGGGGGGGGGGGGGGGGCACGCAGATCAGTTTCCCTCTTTGCGTGTCAGATATTCATGTATCACATGGCCTTCTGCAGCCACAGCCAGAGCACCTTCCGGAGACTGTGTGGGCCCACTGGGCCCAACATGCACAAGCTAAGAACAGATTTGAACAATAAATCAAGAGTAAATAATAGGAAAGAGAAAGATACCGTCCTACCTCCAGAGCAATTTATCGATTTATAAGAATCCTTCTAAAGTATTATATGTGCGTACAGCTACTTTCTGTTTTCCAAAATAAAACTCATTTTATATATTCTACTTCATCTTGCTTCTTTTCCTAAGAATATATGTTGAAGATTATGCTCTATTGTCAAATACAGACTAACGCATTCTTCTCGGGGCACTGTATGACTATGGAGGAACTGGTTATTTTATTGAACCAGTTCCTTCACAAATGGGCATTTAGGTTATGGACAGTCTTTATTTGATTTTTTTTTTTTTAACCAGACACAGTGCAGCCATGACAACCCTTGAAAGCAGGCTTTATGTATTTATACCAATAGGCAATAGGTGCAAATATACACGTTTGCATATATTTAGGGTAAATCCCCCCCACAGATGCAAATTTGATTTCTGGGACAAAGAGTGTGAATGTTTAAGATGTGGATAGATACTAAAACAAAATTGCCCTCTAAAAAGTCACATGAATTTCTAACACCCACCAGTAGCCAATGGAAGTCATTATTTTCTCACCTCTTTCACCCTGTGTGGTTTACATCTCAGTCAATCTAATAAGTGAAACATGTTGCCATTTTTGAACGTGCCTCTGTAAGTGAGGCTGTGCATGTTTTCATGTCTCAATAACACATTGTATTTCTTCTTCTGAGAAGCACCTGTTTATGGCTTTTGCCCATTTCCTATGAGGTTCCCCACCCCCAGTGAAGAGGTTTATGCTGTGTCCCTCTCTCTTACAGTGACCTAGCGGCAGGGCAGGGCCCCAGTCCCACAGTCAGAGCTGTGGAGTCAGCCCTGGATTGAATCCCACCCCCACTCATGCGGGCTTTGAGGTGGTGCACAATATATGAGGGCCTCAGTGTTCTCATCTGTGAGTGGGAATACTAACGGCGGCTTCACAGGAGTCATGTGATGCTCAGGAGAACACGTTCTTGGCAGCATGCCCAGGAATAGTGGTAACTGGGGCTGTTGTCAGGAACGGAACTTATCACAGCGGACCTGACCTGTGAGCGCTGGTAATCTCCAGAGTCGCCTTTACAGGCAGTTGCTGTTTTTGCTTCTGATAATATAACAGGGATATCAGGACCTATGTGCTGAGCCTCGTGATAGGGCCATGCGTGGGTCACGTCTCCGCGGCTGGTCTCATATGTATTTCCTTACCTGATGAAACTCCGCAGGCTTGGGGCTCGGCCTACCCCAGGTCTCCAGGCACTAAGAGCCCAGCCAGGCTGTAGACACAGGCTGTCAGACCCCAGGGCCAGCAGGGGCCAACCTGAGTGTGTGAGGGCAGGGCATTCTGCCACCCAGCCCCGCGAGGGGCTGCGCCCTGGAAATCTCCACCATAGCTTTGCACACCGAGGACCTGTGTGTGGTGCGGGTGCTGAGAACACGCCGACCAGCCCACAGAGCTTCAGCCAGGCCCATGTTCCGACCTCGGTCTACCACTGCCTACCACGGGTCCCTGTCCTGTGGTTGGGTCCGGCCCATACCTGCCCCGTCAGCTGCCCGCCACAGCCTGCTGGGGCTGTCCCCGGAGCCTAGTCCCTGGGACTGTCCTCCTGCCCAGACTGCTCGCCTCTCCAGCTTCGTCTCCAGGGCTCCCTGGGTATCCCTGCCACACACGTACCCGTGCACATGCACATTCACACCCACCCACACACACACAGCCTGCCTGCCTTACTCCTGTCCCTCCCTTCAGGCCCAGTTTACATACCCCAACCTCCCTGGGCCCTCCCTGAACACTAGAAGAGCACCCATCATGGCCCTGGGGACACTGTAACCCCTGAAAATTCCTGGATCTGTGTCTTTCCTGGAAATTCTGACCTCCTAAGGGGCTCCATGACCCCACCTGCCCCCTACTTGGAGCCTGGCCCAGAACGGCGAATGCTCCCAGGCCTGAATCCATTCCACACACTGAAAATGCCTTTTAGAAATCATACACTCAATAGCCCCTAGTCCAGAACTTGGCATATATATGGGGGTCCGCGGATAATTGGTTAAAATGGACAGAAAGTTGAAACGAAACTAACTCTAAGAATAGGGCTTGCTGGGCCCAGGCACTCACCACCCAGCTAGTTCAGACCCCTGCCCTGATTCTTACCTCCTGTTCTCCCCCCGTCTGACACCCCAGCACCTTGCCTGGGGTTTTCTTGACATCTCTACACCATCTGAACTTCCGAGGGCGTGCCGGCTCCTGCCCTTGCTTAGTATGCGTTTTCACTTTTGTACCTTCTTCCAGAACAAATAGTGTGCGAAAGCTCAGCCTATGGCAGAGGGCAACAAGAGAGGATTTCCTCTCCTGCCAGCAGGCACCGAGCCCAAGACACTGGATTCCATCACAGGTCCGGTGGGTGCCGCAGGGCCTTTGCATGCCCCCTCAGAGAGCCTGCGAGGTTGTCACCACTGCACACACAGCCCCTGTTGCCTGGGCCACAGCAGCCCACCTGCCCGGCACCTCCGCCCGCGCCCTTTCTCCTGGCCAGGCCTCTTCACCCCTCCCCTCAGTATCTCCGGCCAATTGGTGGAGGCTCAGTGCAGACCACTCTGAGAGAGCCTCCAGGGGGACCCAGTCAGAGGGAGCCCCCCAATACTGCCTAGAGCTTGGCCTGGTCACTGCAGGAAATAGAGGAAAATTCCCCCAAGCTTCCAGCAGGAGAAGGGAAGGGTTCACATTTTGAGATCATCCAGAGCACCTGTCCTTAAAAGGCCCTGCTCAGCAGAAGTGAACAGCGGGACTTTGAACTGCATGGGGCCACTGCTACGTGGGTTTTTTTTTTTCGACAAATACAGTACA